CCCCTGACCCCACCCCCCCGACCTCGTAGCGTTTGTTGTTCGTTAAAAGTTTAGGGAAGAGAGTTTGATCAAAGTTGTGTTGAATGTTGAAATCCTATTTTCAAAATAGATTTATTGAAGACTAAAGTAAACTGTGTAAAATTGGTGTTGTTATTTTTGTCATGCACGCTCTGGCCAGTGTGTTTTTTTAGATATTTCTTCAAAGAGACAATTAATTAACTCTCTGTGAGAGTCAGTGAGGGACAGTGTTAAAAAGCAAACTTTAAAATTGCTTGCCTTTAACAAGTTATTGTTTATTTCATTGTACCCTTGATAGAGAGTGGAATGCATTTGTCATGTGGGTGCACAATGCTGCATTCACCGCAAACTTCATAATTTGTTGTTAAACTGTGTGTTGGTTTGAAAATACAGTTAATTCTGTTTAGTAGATTAGTCCGCAAAATGCTGGTTGTCACCGATTGCCAACTAAGCCAGAAGTTCAGGAATTCACAAATGTGTAACCCATAAGTCTAATACTTTTTCATCCTCTTACAAGGGTATTCAGACGCTTGTGAGATTATTTTTAAGTTGCAGAAGGACAGAACTCTGTTTTAGTAATAAATGTATTTTGTGGATAATCCAGTTTGGCCTATGTTACAAGAATTTGAGTTTTATTTGAAAAGATAATTTGAAAAGACTTACCTGCTTCTGTACTACGTCGTTCAAAATGCCTATTTGGAACAAGCTTTGAATACTTTGGCACTTCTTTCGTGAAAGTGCCTAATCTACCTGTCAGTATCCAAGTGGAACATCCTTGTCAAAACAGTGTCATGTTATGGTTTTATGGTTTCATGACATGAAGTTGAAAAGTAGTGCCAGTGTGTTTTTACTTTGAGGTCATTTGAAAGCAATCTTTAACATGACATGCTTTTGGCAAATGTGTTCCAGCTGGACACAAGATGTAAGATGTGATCTGAAACACTTCATCCCCGCTAAATGCAACTGATATTAGCTATGGATATAAATCAAGGTCTTCATGATATATAATATCTATTTGCTGTAGTTAGAAAGAAGATATTTCTCCTTGGAAGGACATAAATAAATTAAGATTATGTACCTATTTCTTTGTTTTCCATTGACGGTTGAGTATAAAAGTTGTTGATCAGCGAATTCAAAGTATTTTCACCTCCTAATTTTTTTAATAACATGATAACAATATTTATGCTTTATTGTATTTGCTCATGACTGGTGCCTGTCATAGTACAGAATTATAAGAATATGTGTGGTTGAGTGTTGTTTCCAAGTCAAAAGTTTAATCCAAATACCAAATACTTTTGATGTTTTTACACACTCAGCATCTATGCTTCATGCTAGATTTATATGCAAGAAAACTGAAGCTATCATTTGGTTCATTTACCATGAAGAGTCTTTCAAAGAGCTTCTAGTAGGTTAACAAAACTATTCATTATTAGCTTCAGGCTTATTTATTTACAGCAAGATTGTTTCAGATGTTTGTTTATTTACTCAAGCCAAAGAAAAACATTCAAGATTTGCTCTAGCTTTGCGACCCATTAAGGCAATGTATTTTGCATATGGAATTGAAACATCTTTCACAATGGTCTGCTAATGCATGAAGTGAAATATGTCTACGGACCAAGTATTTCCATTGCCTTAAGAGTTATTTGATAGTGAGGAGATGTTGAAAATGTAAATGTTTTGAAAACATTTGCATCACGACATCAGTAAAACTAAAAGAAAAGCAGGGTAAAAATAATTTTTATATATGAGGCAAGGTAAGCATGAGTCATACCAAGCAATTACGAGTCTTGGTCTCCCGGATTGCACGCGTTCAGGTCGGGTCAAGTCCACCTCCTCGACGCGCTGCAGCCCGGGTCGACTCCTGGACAGAAACAAGGAAAATTGCCAGTAAATGAGCTCCCCGGGCGTGGCGAGGTTAGGTTAGGCTAGCGGAGAGTGCATTTATTTGCCTTTTGGCCAAGATTTCGACCCGGGCTGCAGCGCGTCGAGGAGGTGGACTTGGCCCGACCTGAACGCGTGCATTTCGGAAGACCAAGACTCGTACAGCAGGACCGAGTTCTGACTTTACCGGCCACAGAAGCAGGCGACAGCTGAGAGGCAAGCGCGCTGGCGTGTGGTCCGGGAACTGTCGGCCCAGGGATCGAATCCCAGCCGTGGCACTTTTTTCCCGCTCTGTTTATCATGTCTTCGGTAGTCAGCGACAGCCGAGATGCGCATGTCGCCGGGAGCGGTTCAACGGAGCGGAAAAAAGTGCCACGGCTGGGATTCGATCCCTGGGCCGACAGTTTCCAGACCACACCCCAGCGCGCTCGCCACTCAGCTGTCGCCTGCTTCTGTGGACGGAAACGTCAGAACTCGGTACAGATGGACATGGAGGTGGAGCTGGAGCGCGAGCTGGAGCGAGAGCTGGCCGCGGAGCAGGAGGAGCTACTGGAGGAGGTGCAGGAGCGGATGCTGCAGGCGGCGGCCGCGGCGCAGGCCCAGTCGCACCGGCCGCTGGCCAAGGTGTACTCGCTGCCGGCCAACTTCACCTTCACGTCGCTCTGCGCCAGCGAGAAGGACGCGCCCACCCCGCCGGCCTCCACCACGGGCCTGGCCGCGAGCCTCGTCTCCGGCCTCGGCAAGTGGCGCCGCCCGTCCATGGCCGGCAGGAAGGCCTCCGTCAAGGGGTCCCGCAAGCGGCGCCAGACGGTGCACGCGCACGTGCCCCGCGGCGCGGGCGGCCTCACCCCCTCGGCGGTGGCCGCCGTGCTGTCCGCCGTGCCCGCCACGGCCGTCACCTCCGTCCCCGCCGCCGCCGCGGCCCCGGGCCCCACTGCCGCGGGCTCGGCCTCGCCGTACCAGCACTGCCTCGGGCAGGGCCTCGCCGCGGCTCCGCCCGCACCCCAGAGGGTAGGTGCCCACCACCCACCACGGGTCCAAGTCGATTGTCCTAACTGTTTGTGACCGGGCCCGTTAAAATAAAGGTTTCCCAAAAATAGCGTTTTTTTTTGTTTTTTTATTTTTATTGCTTGCTTGATGTTTGCTTGTCTGCCCAACATTTCTGTAGGGCAAGCCAAGCAGGACACGCACGGCACCGAAAATGCTTTCGCCCCTCCCCCCCTCCCCTCGCCCCGAGTCAGCTTAAACTGAACCGTCTATAGACGAATTCATTACTCCCGCCAATGCAAGAATATCAACCAGAAGTAAACAGCGCTGAGAACTAAATGGAAAAGGGAAGAAATCAATGCCTCTCCGAAGCTCTCGCCTTGTCCTGACCAAGCGCTCGGAGGGACAGGGGACCGCGGAGGCCCGATTCAGGAAAACATTGCCTACCCTCCAGGCGTTTTTAGCGGCAATGATCGACCCACGCCTAGATTGACGAGGCCTCAAGGAAAATGGCCAGAAAATGAGCCCCCCGGGCGCGCGGAGGTTAGGTTATGTTCCATTTATTGGCTTTTTCCCGTGTTTCTGGCCAGATTGCGACCCGGGCTGCAGCGCGTCGAGGAGGTGGACTTG